TTTTAGCAGTTTATTTTTGTATTCAGAGAGGTTTTTTCAAACCTTGGAGCTGTGATGAAGAGAAACCAATGTGTACTGACAGTAAGTAACAAACGTGTGAGTAAAACCCCATTTACTTAAAAGAGCAACACATAGCTATTTCTATGTTTTAATTAATGAAACATTTTTTCTATGCTATTGCATTGTGGTCTCAGAAGCGTTTCTCCTAGCAATTCATTCATCACTTCTCTTGAGGATTTAAATAGCTTGCCTGAACATCTTATGACAAAGATTTCTGTAAACACAATTTACTTGGATACTTACTACCCCAGAGGAGTCAGCTTGTGACTGAACTCTCTTGAACTACTGCCAATAAAGCCAGATCAGTTTCTTTCATTATCACTTTTTCTGGTGCAATGAAGCATTTAAATAGAATTCATTTTTGCCAGCCGTTTCCACAAATAACACTCGTGTCTCCCACTTAAAGATTCAATGAAGTGGATATTTTTTGTGCATGGTTTGTCATGTTCAAAAGTAGAGAAATTCTCAGATTTTATATTATATTTGAAATATTTAGATAGGAAAAATGTCAGACAAAGAAAAGTTATAGAATTTCTAAAAGTAACAGAATCATTGTTATGAACATTCATTAGCTACTGTACCAAGATCATAGGATTTTTATATAAAGGACTTAGTCTGAATAATCATCACTGTAGTTTGTGTCTTTGTGCATATATATATATATATGCATATACACAATGCATGTATACTTGCATGCCACTCTGATTTTAAACGATATGCGCCCATAATTCTAAGGTGAGAACTGAGCCAACAGTGTTTGAGTTGCCCTTAGTCTAATAACCTTTTGTTAATGGCTTCTACTCTTGAATTAGATTAGGCTATGTAAAGAGCCAGATTGCTATTGAATATATCCTTTGTGAACATATACTTCAGCTGGATAACCATGCTCAGAACTAAATCTTAGAAATTTAAAAAGTGAATGAAAATGGTTAATGTTTATGATTGTCTTTGGGATTATTTAAATATATAGTTGTTTGATGATTCAAAGTTGAATGAAAAGTTTTTGATCCTATTCCAAAGTCCAGTAGATATTGGAAGTGGTGGGCACTCTACATATGCTAAAATAGATAGAAATGCAATGCAGGAGGGCAAATAGCAGGATCTATATTAAAATTTTCAGGAAGATTATTTAAAGATGACCTGCAAAAGAAAAATCTTGGGTTTGTGCACTTGTTTTTTTGCACTTTTTTATGATGTATAATAAAGGCTTAACTAGTGGGTAGGGTTGGGTCAATTTAGATATTTTTTCTGCTGATTTACATTAGAAATATCAGTAAGTGTAAAATCTTGTCTTCTCTGATTTTGCTGGAGGTGACATTGGAGAGCTAAAGAACTGGTGTGGGAGTTTTCTTAACTTTAGGGTAAGGGTAAGGATGTTGATCTTTTAGCAATGAGATCTTTTCTCACAGCTGTTTGGCACATGTTTGAGTTAAATAGGTATTAATGAAAATAAACAAAAACCTAGAATTTCTAAAGTTTGTGACTAAAACTCCTTCTCTCAACTGCTCAAGGTTTATTTTACCGGTAATTATGAAGACATCATCCTAGTTCATCATATCATCCATCACCATCAAGAGATTTATAAAGCATTCCAGGAAAAACAGGATAGATAAGACAGGAATTTGTAACAAACTTTTTTAGGGAAAAAAATAAAACCATCACATACTCTCAGGTCTTCTGTATATATCATACAAGATCATAAACCTAATCTTTTTCCATGGCAGGTCACCTTTGAAAAGCAAAAAATCCAAGAGCTATAAATGCTTTAAACAAGTTCGGAAATCAAGCTAATCCCGATACTTAGTTTTAACTACATATTTCTCTTCGCTATTAGAATATCTGAAAAAACCTGTTCTTTAAATTCTCTTGCAAATGAATTTTCTCTGTCAGGATTTCATATTTTTGATTAAATAATTTTGCAAATGAACCTATTTTTTTGTATGTTTACACTTCTAATGACTATTTGTTACCTTTGTACAGAAGTTTCATGCTCTTTAAAAATAAAATGGCAATTTTTGTTATACTCCCAGAATTTTACCTACCAGCATACTGTTTCCATGGAGAAGGCCTCACCTTGAGGATTCATTCCTTCCGTTTTTAATCAGTTCTTCCAGAATTCTGAGTACAAAACAAAATTACTGTTAAACAATTTTAAATAGTGTGTGCAGATACTGGTTTACTTTTATTGTGCAGGTTTGAATCTTAATATTTCTAGAATAGTTTTCTTTAATTTAAGGGCTAATTTACATACAGCAATATGTTCTTTGTCTTCTGTCCTGCAAGCACTTATGTATGTGCTTAACAGTCCCATTGGGTTCAGAAGAAAAACTCATGTATATATATTTAAGCACATAAAAGTGTTTCTAGAATCGGGGCCTGAATGGGAGCATTTTCAGGGTAGTAAACTTTGGCACTTACCAAGGTTTATCATGACCTTTTTATGTGGTCTGACCAAGAATTTTGCCTCATATTATAGTTAGCATACTAAAGTTTTAGGGTCCAATCCTGCAGTCCTTACCTGAACCTAAGTAGTTCCAATGAAGTCAGTCTGAGTTTTACTTTTTCCCAGGGGTGCTCCACCTTGCCCCCAAGGTCCCGCCCTCTTCCTGCCCAACTCTGCCGCCTCCCCCGAGGCCCCACCCTCATTCTGCCTCTTCCCACCCCTGCTCTGCTCCCTACCTGAGGCCCCTGCCCGTTGCTGGCTGCTCTACGCCCTCCCCCAAGTCCCTCCATGAGCCGCCAAAGAGCTGTGGCTAGTGAGTGCTGAGCACCCACTATTTTTTTCTATGGGTGCTCCAGCCCCATAGCACCCAGGGAGTTTGTGCCTATGGTTACCACATTGCAGTGGTATCTGGTTTACTGCAGTTACATTCTGTAGGTTACACGTATTCTACAGGAATTAAGTACACTTAATCAGATATCACAGTGTGATAACTAGGTAAATGTTGACTGTTCAGTGTAAACCGTACTATGTACTCCTATATTAGTAATAATACATTAATATTAGGTCAGCACCCAGAGTCCTCAAATCACAACAGGGAACCTGTTTGGCTCAGCATGAAATGATTTTTCCAGAGAAAGATTTCTGTGTTATTAGGTTTGTCAACCCTGATGTATCGGAATTTTGACAAATGGTTAAATGG